AGTTTGAGGATTTGCCTGCTAACTGGGTTCTTGAAGTCAGTCCTAATGGCTGGACGAATAATTAGCTTAGTCTTGCCTAGTTAGAGCACTTTGATACCTATACAAAGAGGCATACTGTAGGTGGGTATCAACTGCTTATTATTAACGGCTATAAGAGCCACTGCTCTATCGATTTTCAAGATCTTTGCAAGGAGAAGAATATTATTCTTCTCTGCATGCCTCCACACTCGTCTTACCTGTTGCAGCCTCTTAACGTCGCCTGCTTCTCGCCATTAAAGCGCAAGTATGGCGACGCTGTTTCAGGCTTGGCACGCAACCGCACCCACTATATCAGCAAGGAGACCTTCCTACTAGCCTTTAAGGCTGCTTTTGAGCAGTCTATTACAAAGAAGAATATCCAAGCTGGCTTCAGAGGCGCTGGTCTAGTCCCACATAACCCACAGGCTGTGCTATCTAAGCTTGATGTAGTGGTGCAGACGCCAGTACAATCACCACGACGGACAGCCGCCTGGCAGGCGCAGACACCACGCAACGCGCGCGAGGTTGAGGCTCAAAGTACTCTTATTCGACAGAGAGTAAGAAACCGCCCTAGGTCTTCTGCAAATTCTCTTGACGAGAAGGTTGTACAGCTAAGTAAAGGGGCTTAGCAAATAGCACATGAGATGACGCTTATAAGGGAGGAAGTAGCTGCTCTTCGAGAGGCTCTAGACACAGCAAATAAGCGTAAGAACCGCAAGCGGCGATACGTACAGACAGAAGAGACTCTTACTGTAGGCGAAGTACAAGAAGTATTAGCTGAACAGGCGGGTAGCAGTCGTGGTGATGGTGAGAGTGCGTTGAAGAGGGTGCGAGGAGAGCGGCGGTGCGGGCGTTGCAAGCAGACTAGACACAACGCTCGTACCTGCGCAGTTGAGATAGATAGTGTAACTAGCCCCACCACAAAGTGCGCGCGACCACAAAGTGCGCGCGCGCCTTACAACCACCTCAACCTCAACGCGTCGTATCCCCACCACCATGGCTAATATTGAGGCTGCGCTTGCAGCTATTAATGCCCTAGGACCTGATGAGCCTTTTTCGTATACAGATATTGCAAAAAAATATAGTGTTGTTTGATCTACGCTTACCCGAAGACACCAAGGCCTACACGCCTCACGCGCGATAGGTGGCCAAAAACGGCAGCTCCTCCACCCACAGCAGGAGCAGGCCCTAATCGCCTATATCAATCGACTAATAGATAGAGGCTTACTACCTACTCAGCCAATGATACGCAATTTTGCCTCACAGATCGCCAAGACTGAGGTTGGAGTACACTGGGCTAGTCGCTTCGTCCAGCGCTATCCTCATCAACTTACCTCAAGGTGGGCAAAAGGCCTTGATAACTGTCGCCACAAAGCAGATTTAAGAAGTAAATACAACCTCTACTTTAGCCTCCTACGCGATAAAATTAATCAATATCACGTCGAGGCGCGTCATATCTACAATATGGATGAGAAGGGCTTCATGCTTGGTATCGTAAGTCGTTCAAGGAGGATCTTTAGTAAGGCCTCGTACGAGGGCATAAGGAGGAGGACTACGATACAGGATGGCTCACGCCAGTGGATAACGCTGTTAGCCTGTATCTGCGCAGATGGATCTTGCCTTGAGCCTGCCCTCATATATCAATCAGCCTCAGGATCGATACAGGACACCTGGCTGCAGGCCCTTGATCCAGACATCCACCAAATTCGAATATCTTCATCACCTTCTGGATGGGACGAACAATGAGATAGGCCTCGCGTGGCTGCAGCAGGGTGTTTGATCGTAGTACGAAAGGCGAATGCTCGATCCTCCTATCGATTACTTGTCCTTGACGGCCATGGATCTCACGTTACAATGGATTTATCA